AAGCCAGGGTTCCGGGTGCAACAACACGGCAGACTAGCCTGTTCCATATGAACCCTTTGCATAAAGACGTGCCTCCTGTCTTCAGATGTAACTGCGCCTCCCTGCTGGCTGCCTTTCCAGTCCCTTTCTTCCTATTTCCAGAAACTCTACTGTTCGATGTACATTAACTTCACATTTCCACTCACGCATTTGTTTAGTTGGGCCCCTAAATCGCCTCCAAAATGTCTTTCAGAAAAGAGGAAGCAGACTTTTGCACAGGTACACAGACAGATGAGTCCCCTGCATGTCCGATCTGTATCCCAGACTCCTGGGCACTTGCTCAGTGTTTGTGGATCTTAGAAGGGGTGCGTTGTGAGTTTCAGTACTGCACCTTTTTTTATTTGTCTCCTACGAAGAAAAATACATGGAGTGCATGAGCAGAAACACCCATCTGAGAAAAACATGTTCTTCACAGATACCATGGAGTCTTGCTGTAATTACAGCAAGCTCAGAGTTTGCAATCCCCTCCTGGGCACTGCAGAGCAGGCAGGAAAAGAAAGTTTGCATGCCCTCCGAATGCCCTGTTAATGCCTTTTGCTAAAGTGCTTGAACTGCTGATAGGTACAGAAGAATGATTTAGGTGCGTCAATCATCCGCTGTCAGCTTGATTTGATTCAAATAAGTCACTGGGATCTGGGATGCATTGGAAGTGGTAATTGAACGAGCAACTTCTGCAGAATGGGGAGTGTGCTCTTCAGGTCTTGAGGACATGAGGGCTTCTTACTGGTTTTCATGGCAGCTGGGGAGAAGCAGCGAGCAGTAGGGTGCCTGATCATGCTGAGATGCCTGAACCAGCCCCTGCCAAACACTCCTTTCTCTTTGTACATCATTCATAAGAGCCTGAATGTATTTTTTATTTCCCCTGATTCAGTATTACTACTGCCTTTGAGGACATGTTGTGCCCTACATAAAAATTACAACACAGGTTTGTGTTTTCTGGTCAAATAACTGCACTCGGGGAAAGAATGAAAAAGTGCTGCATTTCTTTTATCACGTGTTCTAAGAAAGAAGCCACTTAGATCAGTGTACAATTTTCTTGTTTCTTTCTTCAGAGCATATACAGTATGCTGAGTTATAGAGTTCATTCTGGGATAATTAATCTGTGTTCTTCTCTCTGTATTTCTCCATTCTTCCTCTTACCTCCTCATCTTAGGTACTCAGGGCTATGATTACCATAGGAGTCATTTGGTCAAACCTTCACACTCATTACGTAAAAATGTTTTTTTTTTTGCTAAGTCACGTCTGAGCCGTGCCATTAGCTGACTGCCGCTATGATTGCCTTCAGTTTTCTGGGGACATGTGGGCTTGTCAGGGTGACCCCTGTGATAGTCTGCTTCATCTGTCCGCAGGTCGATGCTACCTGCGCTACAGAGACAGAGCAGCATGATGACGTACAACGGGGACCCTATCACCTCTTGTGCTGCATGAGAGTCACAGTGGTGATAAACAAGGGGGTAGAAAAACCTCCAGGTCCAAGCTTATAAATGCCAAGAGCGTACTGGGACAGAGCTTGTCCTGATCTCTACTGCATTAACCAAACCAAGAGCACATCTGATTGGGATGTGAGTCCATTTGAAGGGTTACCCCAGTAATACCGGTGCTTGTTTATACAGCTGCTTGCACTGGAACCTATTTCAAGCCTCAGGGTAAGGTATGATGTTAAAGAGTCCCTCAATCTTCCTATCCGAAGTCCAGAATTTTAGCTTTGGATAGGAGGATAGCTCCATGTGTCCACCAAGTGGTGACTATTGTGAGAGGGACCAGGGCATTGTTGAATGCTAAAACTGACAGAAATGGAAAAGAAGTTCTGTGATTTCCCAGTCAGGCTTGCTGGGCACAGTCCCCTGACTTTCCTTGCTGAACACAATCTACAGATAACATATAGTTTTCCATAGATCTGCCTGCCCCAATTCCGTAAACCTCTGCAGAGACTCGGGATACGTCTATAGAAACCTTAAGGTAACCTCCAGGTGGTAGTTTGTCCTGTGCATGCTCTCCCTGACTTGAAAAGAGTCCAGGTCCAGCCTGAGGTCAAATGCCGCTGTGGAGGTCAGGGAATCATTCCTCTATCCCTCTACACTGAGAAACAAATACTGCGCCCGGAATTCCTTGAGGGAAAACTGGTGGGTAACTTACCCGTCCACCCAACCTACTATGGAGAAGACCACTGGCCCACATTTTCTCTACAGAGGCAAAGAATGGTCCCTGTATTTCTCATCATACCGCACAGTATCCCCACAGCCATGCTTCTGGTGAGATGCATTGTGCAAGAAAAAAGTATTTATACAGATCCGGCCATTCAAAATGCGAGGAGTACGCTGTGTCAAAATGCGGTGGGCTTGCTGCATCATACCGCATCATTCTGCAGCTTACCGCATGCAAATTGAAATCTGATAATAGTATCCCGAAGCACCTTGTAAAACCGCCAGGTGGAGCTAATAAAGCTTAACCTCATGTACAGCATTTGAGCTGTCGCCAGAAAATGCCCGGTTTTGAATCCCAGTCACTGTTGAGGGATAATCTTTTTACAATTTAAAATTTAAGTTGTATAGTCTTTAGATTTTTAATAATTTTAAACTGTGTATTACAGCATGTGAATCATTAAACAAGATTGCTCCGTTGGACAAAAGTACAAAACCTTCCACCTTCATCGTAAATATTTTATGCATCAAAGTCTGGTAACTTACATGGGTTCTGGTTTTAACGTGCTTTTTCTAACATTATTAAGCTTATACTGTGTACTTCATAAAGAGTTATAATGTTTTATCCTTTTCTAGGAGAACATACTGTTCATGGCTTCACAGGGCCGCCCATAGCTTCGCTCATTCATTTACACCCGGCTTGATAAAGGAAATCAAAACATCTGTTTACAATTTGCCCGGAGTCTTGCTGCGTTGTGCATTTCTAGATCGACTTAGATTTCCTCATTTTGTCCAATTTATATCTGCAACCTCAAGAGGTTTTACTGTGCACGAAAATACAAAACAGGCCTAAACTGGGCTGTAGGTCAACTTCCAAACCTGTTTGATTATTCCAGAGATGACATGGAAAGTCTTTGACATGTGGAACTTTGTCTGTAGCTCAGCCACGGGCTCCGTTTTAATTTGCTGCCATGATATCTGATACAGAATAAGGGGTTGCGCCGAGTCTTTAACAGGGCACACGGTGCTGCAAAGCTTCAATACTACAGAGGTCTAGTTTCCTAGATACCTCATAAATTATTCAGGCCACTTGAGCAGGCAGTCTGGAGCACTGTGCTCCAGCGCTGTGGGGTGTAAAATTTAGGAAGACTTTAGAGGATAAAGTGACTGAAGGAAGCAAACTCACATTTCCTTTCCTTGCTCATTAGAGGTAAGATGTCAATGTTGTTTTTTCTGGGGTGAATTATTAAAAGCATTATTTTCTTTTAAATTCTCAAGACTAAGTTTTTTTGCACCAGGTTTTCCAGCCTTGTACACAACGGCCGCTCCCCCCGATGAGGTACTGATGAGGATCTCATTAACGTTTCTCCTTCTTGATTAAATCATATGAACGCAAGCTATGTAAACATTTTGGTGGTTCCTTCATTAAATGATAATAAGATGTTTATAATCCCTTTCGAAAGTGTTGCCTGGAACTCATGCTGTGCTAAATAAACAACTCTGCTGCTTGGTCTGTGCGTTTTCACAAGCTGCCTTGTCCTCTGTCGTTACCGAACCAGAACTGTGCATCTTGAAGACACGTGGACCATATTTTCACATCACAGGCAGGAGCGCCGCTGACCGGCCGAAAATCATAGATTGCTGTAGGAAGACTATCGTGGCATAGAACTAGTGTTGCAATGAATATGGCTTCATTTTAAATTCTCCTGATGCTCAATGACAGGAAAAGGAACTATGGGAAGATATGCAATGTGGTTTGCTTTTTTTCCCAGAAATTTGGAATAAGTAATCATTTAGTCGGAATCAGCTGGAATCACCAGTTGTTTTACTAGTGTTAGTTCCTCCATGGCACTGCGAGGACTGACTACGCTTTCCTCCCACGTTTGTGCGTGGAAAAGCCGTCCAGCATTGCACACACTGTGAATTCCACCGTGCCTGTAAGAGACCGAACATCAGCTCAAGCCCAGGAAGTCCCTGGGGGTCATCGTTTGATGACATGACAAGGATATCCTCTGCTTACGGCTGTGGGAGGCAGAAACAAACCCACAAAGCCTGAAACTCTGTCTTTTTCAAGACGTTTTGGTTTTTGCAAATTAGTGCTGTCCCAAGCCCCAGCTGTTTCTCATTCTCTTAGCTAAGCTTGGAGTTAGGTACCTCATGCACCAAACACTATTCGTTTTTTTTACAAAATGCCCTTTAACACAAAACCTCTTTTCTCCCATCCTCAGTGCAGAGTGTTTTAATGGTTGGTAGCTGAACCTGAAACATCCTCACCATCTCCCATTAGCACAGGCTAAGCTTTGGTATAAGGCAGCAAAGACCTATGTAGTCTAACAGTAGATTTCTGAACGGAAAGGTCAAAAAGACACAAAAAAGACTGCTTGATTAATTGTGGTGGCACAGGAGCAGAAACAGAGGACAGGTTCTGATAATAATGCCGTGAGGATTTAACACAGAGCTCTAAGTGTTGTCAGGGGATAAGGCTGGTCACTTGGGTCTTATCTTGAGCGGAGGCCCCAAGCAGCACAGTTAGGAAGCTGACCTGTCGCGGCAGTCCATTAATCCAATTAGGGGAGAGTTTTCAGGGTTTGTGCCTGGCAATAGCTGTTAGGAAGAAATGCAGACAGGGCTTTTACTGATGCACCTGTGCGTGACCCAGCGAGGGAGGGAAGGAGACTGACCGATCACGGCATGTTCACCAACTCCAATTACGCATTCTGATGAAACAGTGAATTTCTGCACAAGCCGAAGCAGATCTGTGTTCAAAGATCGCATTTCCAAGACAGGAATAGATTTGCATGGGGGGTGGAGAGGGGGAATCTCTTTTGAAAGAAAATAAAATGTTTCTGAAGAAATCTGAAAACACTGCATAGGGTCTCATCACTGATTGGTTTATTAACACTTATTTACTGTAAGGCTCGCCTTACTGAGTTTACCGAGTTTATCAACGTGATCACTATTTCTTTGAGAAATTGATTATTCCTTTCCCAGGAGGGAAGAATGTAAAACTGCAGTGAACAAATTGTAACTTTCTACAGTAGACCAGTATCGTCGCCTGGTCCTCCTTGGAGCCAGGGAATTCAACAGGGTTCTGATGAAGACGCTGCCTCCGGGAGAGACGTGCCATTCTCTTTCTTTGGGTGTGCTCTGCTCTCAGGCCTTGTCTCACACATGCTTGCTCCTTGCCTCCACACGCCTTCCTGGAGGTTCCAGATATTCAGTTACACAGAACACAGCCAGCACCAGGTCAAAGAGCAAGGCAAAGCACCAACGATTGGCCAGTCCCTACGCACAGCGCCCCGAAATCTCCGATTCCTAGATTAGCAGAAATGACTGAACGCTTGCATCTTCAGCGGTAGGAGAGTCTTTGTTTCCAAGATCTGGGGTGCTGGGTTAGCAGAGGTTTGCCATCTTAGGCTAGGGGGAAAAAAGGAGATCGCTATTTTTCATTTTTTTTTAAACGTTATGAAAAATGACATGACTATGCAGGTAATGTCAGATCGAGACTGGACGCTCGGAGCTGGGTGCTCCGACTCATAGTGCCCAGCTTCCAGGAGGGCAGTGTGGTCAAGCGAGCTCTGGGGGCCTGATACTGGCGGTCACTATCTCTGCCATCTCCAAGAGGAAGCATCACAGAACCTACTGCCCCTTATCTTCTGCAAGCCGCCTGTCCTCTGAAACTGATTATCTGTTTTCTGTGCGCCAGGCCAGGAGAGCGATCCCCTGACTCCTGAAGGTGACAGGCACGATCGTAAGATTGATTAGGAACCTTAACCTCTTCCATCCAGTCTGGATGTCACACCCATCCGGCACATCGCCATTCAGCTCAGACCTCTCCGCTGGCTGGCTCCGGTTCAAACCCTTCCGTCTATCTACTCCTTTTCCTCCACTGGAACAAAAAAAAACAGGAATAAGTCATCAAAGGTGTTTTTGAGCAGGAGTATTGTTAGGCTCCATCAGAGTTTAGTTTTTTTCCGTGGTGTTTTTTCAAGTGGTGTTGTATTCTGTCTGTGATAGACATAAGCTCACTGCTGGACATTCTGCTGCATTAGAAGCCAGTGAGAGAGGCTTCCCCAGACATTAGGTACTGTAGTATAATTCTACACGAGCAAATGAAAGGAAATCCCTTCTGGGCCGCGAAGAGAGCCGTGTCGGAACGGCTGCTCTCGTTGTCAGAAGAGCTCCTGCTACCTGGATCGAGAAAGCCGCGCCTGCCGTCGGAGACAAAAATAAATAACCGGAAAAAAAAAACAAGAACCCAAAACAAAATTAATGAGACAGAATGCCAAGGTGCAGGCAACGAACGCCGCGCGTTCAAGTACAGCGTTCCGGAGCCGGAAGGATTGTGGGAAAGTTAACTTTTCCTTATTGGCCCTTGCTTCCCCTGTCAGTAAGATGCCTTTTAAATTTTTAAAATCACGGCCCGGGTGCTTGTGTCTGGCATCTCCGCACTGAATCTGTGCCGTAGCGAAAGCTCTGATCTCACGCTAATGAAGGGAGTTGCCTGTCTTAGGCTGACAAGCGCGTTTGGAAGAAATGACAAGCCACGCTACTGGAAATTTCTGTTTACTTTATGTTAAAAATATACTTATATAAAATTCACCCGATCGCCTACTGCTTCAGCTCTCATAAAACACGATAACCAAATGAGGCGCTCCGGCTCTGGGACGGGTTTAAGATTTCCAATTAAAATCTTGCATTTTAAATGTTTTTTTTTTCATTTCTTAGACAAAATCTCTGCTGAACATTGTTGCGGATGGTTAATAAACTAATACAGGACATGTTTGATAAGGAATTAAGCACATAATTACATATGAGTGAGTCCAGGGTAAAATTTACATTCTCTAGCTGACTTGTGGATTTGGTTTCACTTATCATTTCTGGAGAAGATTATGAAAAGACTATTTTTAGATGAAGTTAGTAGCAGACTAAAAGCAATAGCTAACGACTAGTTGTCCTTATACAGTGGTTTGGTTTCTGCACACACAGAATTTATCCTGCCATTAAGACATGTTATTGTGTTATACACTACTGAAACAAAAAACACTTCTGGTCAGGAAGGGCAATTTTGTGCGTGTTATAGAAATGTAATTACCTTGATGATTCCTTGACTAAGGTGGAGATAATAACTGCTGGGGAAAAATATTGCGTTTTTTTTTCCTGCTGCACAAGTTTACATGATTTTCTGTGGTTCAGAGACATTAAGAAATAGAAACATCAGGAAACATCTGTCCTGTGTTAGTGAAACACTCTCGAGGACAGATGTGAGACATGACAAGTCTTTCTCTCCCTCACACGCACACTCACGAGCAAACAAGCACGCACATGATATGTTACGACACAGGTGATCGTCCTCAAGAAAACTACTGAGGTTTTCAACCCTGCAAGCCACTAAAAGATAAGACTGTCCAATTGTGAAGAACACTGGTCTCAGTACTTTCTACAGGTACAGGTTGAAAGGACATCCACTTTTTAAATACCACCAACTGGACACCCCAGCCCAGTTGATCTTGATACCTAACATTACAGTGGAGTGCAATCTCCTGTCCATTAAGAAAATTCCCTACTCCTCTCCTGTCACAGCAAAGGTCTGTGTTTGACTTCCTATTACATACAGAGGGTCATGCTCTCATTATAAAAAAATGAATATATATCTTATATCACAGAAAGGGGCATTAAGTGTAAGAAAAAAAAAATAAGAGAAAATATTCACCCCGTATAAAAGTCACTGTAGGAGAAAAGCAAACGACAGGGGAAGACAGGAGAACAAAAGGCTGGCGCCTCAATTTATTTCCACCCCTCTCGAGTTTGTTAACAAGCTCTGTGAATGTCACTTTGTTATGGAAATTGCATCGCGCTGTTTGCAGGCTGCTCGACTCCAGAACAAAGCCCCCCACTTTCCTCACCCCCTCCGCGACAGCCCTCCTCCTCCTCCTCCTCCTCCGATCGGCTCGCTCAGCTGCTTCTGCCTCGGCCAGTCGGGACCCTGCAGGACGTCCGCCGGCCCCGGGTCTGTCCACGCCGCCCGGCCACGCCCCCCCGGCTCCCCGCTCGAGGAAGAGAGCAGCGTTCCCCATCCGGGAAGACATTCCACAGCCACGTGTCCCGTGAGGGAAGAAAACAAACAATGACCCCAGTGCAAAGTTTTTGTCAGCGTGTGCGTGTTATTTTCGTGTTTGTGTTTTATCCGCGGTGATTACATAAATCAAGGAGACAGAAGAAGAACAGTAAGAGACAGAGGACTGCGCACCTGATGAATGTGGTTGATGTTTAAAGGGGTCAATTTCAGGCACATTCCTGGACCCAAACAGAACGGGATTTTTGTTTTATGGGGGGAAGGGTGTGGGAGGGCACGATAAATAAAAGACTGGTTGAAATTCAAACAAGAGCCTGGCAGTGGGGGACACTACCTGCAACCCAGTCCTGGGGGCTCATGTAGCACGCAGATCTATTGCAGCTCCTGTGCCAATTATCAGAACATGATGCAGACAGACAACTAATAAGGCACCTGAAGCAGATTGATGGGGAGACCTTTCCCTGCTGTTGCAGCTCTGCAGTGTTACACCCCTGTGGCGACAGGAAGCAACTGATCCAGGACCGCAGATTTACTGAGGGAGCAATAACAAGTCTGAGACACTGCAATTGCACCGCTCCTAGTCAATAAGAAGTTAAAGGGAAGCTGGCAAATTAGATGTAATATTTACTCGACGAACATGATCGATTAGGGTGCAGTACCTTCTAATTAGCCAAGCATGCAGTGGGCTGGTAACTTTACTGACACCGAAACACTTGCATAGCAACACAGGAAGTAGGTCATAGCTCTCTTTGTTCTCCTCTAGGTAAAGTGTGACTCTGCATCAAGAGGACATGTGCATCGCTGTTCCCGACTTGAGGACAGGAAAACTGACCAGTTCCTGACTTGGCATCACGGAGACTGGTGTGAGATGTGGTGGCCTGCTCAATGCTTTCAGAATGGAGGAATGAGCAGTGGGATCTGCCTACAATGAGTGTGCTTTTTACAAGGGGCTCAACTGTGCTCTGGGTGGAGGTGCTTCCATCTGCTTCCAAAAAGTGCTCTCCAAACTGCCTTTCACTAGTGTGGACAAGTCCTGATTGAGACGAAACCAGCAGATGAATGTAGAGCAAAAGTGTACGTAATACTCTAGCGTTAACTCAGCCTTCAGTCAGCATTGTCTCAACTCCTCTGACTTACGAGGAATGAAATGGGGAGGCAGCTACCTGGGTGAAGTTGGGGTGGAGGGAGGAAAGCTAGAGAAAGTGAGCACAGAGCTGTGGGCAGCTGGCAGGAATCTATACTCAGGACAGCAGAAGTGTAAGAAATTCAGACTTCGATTAAATAACACCTTTAGTTTTTCTTGTGAAGGAACACAAAGAGAATTTGTGGGCAATTCACCTAATGAGACCAGGCTAGACTATGCACATGTACCAGACTTGACTCTTAAGGGGCTGTCATATACTGACAGACTGGAGGAATAGAACTTTTTTAGTCTTGAATGGAGAAGACTAAGGGAATCCGATATGCATTCAAATTCTCAAAGACACTGACGCCGTCAACCCAGTGGACAGTGAAACACAAACAAGTGGACAAAAGTGGAAACTGCATGCAAATGCACATAAAACCAAGGACAAGAGACCGTTGTTTACCCAGAGGGTGGTGGGAGTTTAGGACAAGGTGGTCAGCCACGGTGTGGGAGCTGGTCCCCTGGCATCTTTCAAGAAACAGCTGGATGTGATCCTGGGATCAATTAACTGCTAATTACCAAACGGGACAAATGGGCCTTGAACCTCCTCTTGTTTGTAACCTTTCTAATTTCCTGCAGCTGCACACAGAGGTGTTTGTTGTAAAATGGGCACGTTCATCCAAGGATCTGGGGACCTCTTGGGTTCCCTGAAAACCGAAGTGCAATTTTGGTGGTGAAGACATTGTTTCACCGCGTGTCTAGCAATGTGTAGCAAGTCTAGTACTGCTCTGAGACCATTTAAAGCAGTTCAGTTAGCCCGTGTTCCTGCTTTTAATATTTTGTGAGTTAACACTAGCTTTATTTATAATTCTTAGAGAATATGACTTTTGCGTTGAATCAGGGGCCCTTATTTCAAGGGATCTAGAAAAAATGGATCAAAGAGGCCAAAAAAATGTTGAAGCCAGTGTTCTAAGTGCTGTTTGACAACCTAGAAAAAATGTCAGGGTCAAAAACTCACAGGGAACAGAACAGACTTGAGCACTTGGCAACATGGGACAGTCTACCTGTATGTTGAAGTGTGTCCTGGTGACCAGGTTTGTTAACATTTGCTCTGCACACTTGCCAATCGCCCGACACTCTTTCATGCATCAGCACAGACCGTCACTGACCTTGTCTTGGATGGGGAAACTCCCATAATCCCCTTGCCCTGCCAGAGCCTCACTGCCCTCAGGGCCAGACTGCTGAGCTGAGCCTGTTGTCACGGGGACAGGACAGGGGAGCAGGTGAGGGCAGGAGGTGAGGAGGGAATTGTGCTATTCTGGGGAAGGGGGAAGGGGGGGTTGTACCGACACCTGGACCCTTTTGGACAGTGTTGCTAAGAGGGGAAGGAGTACTAGTGAGCCTATTGACACATGAGGCCATATTAGCCTTTTTCCACTTAGGCTAAATTGACCACATTTATCTGAACAAACACTGTGCATGTATATACATGTGCATGACTTAATTTGTGCTGGATCCCAGTGGATTCCAGATCTAGGCCCCATTTTGTGGAACAGAATTCATCAGTTTACAGATCGATAACGTGGGGAATTAAAAGAGCATGCTGTTGGGTGAGATTCAGACTTTCGCCCGTGGCAAACCGTGAGACCAGAATGCGTGATCCACAACACCAACTACACAACAACACAACCTGCTAACATTGCCAAGATGGACACTTGGAGCCTGACTCTGCTGACGCCAGCATGGGAATTTCCATACAGGGATAGTAAAGTGTTAATCGTGTTGTTCATTCAGGGGAAGAGAGTAAAATGTTTCACATTCCTTTAACTCACATTGAAGGTCCCAAGTCTTCAGAGCTCTCCCTTACTCTTCCACTCTCAAACCTGCATCTGTCCCGCCAGTTCATTTCACTAGTGCATCTTCAAATAACGCTTAGAGCGTTGAGACCTTGAGCAAGTCTTGAGATTACTTGCTCGACAATATTCACCATGGACCCTTTTCATTGAAAATAAGAAGGAGAGAATTTTGTTGGAAAAGGGGAGGCATTGTAGAGTATCTGAGCCCTCCATCCTGCGAATGCCTCACTGTTCCATCTTTCCGATATCGATCACCCAGGCCAGCATGTGTGGGCAGAAAAAACTTGCACTGAAATGCGCTCGGAGCCGGGCCCTGAAGCGGTATTCAAAATCACTTCCTTATTGTATTTTAACTGCGTCTCTGCAAACCCAGCAAACATTTAAGTTCCCAATTTTGCTCTGCAGATGCAATATAAGATAAAAAATTACCATGCATTAGCGCAATTACAGATCTGAATATCGATATTAGGTCTTTGCATTTCTCTTGTAATGCAATTAAACCTGTGAAAAGCCACAGGAGGCAAGACGTATTGGTTGAAAAATGCAGGCTCCCATTTCTGCCTGCTGGGAAGGCAATATTATAAAGGTTAATAAATGGATTAATTGTAGAGTCCTGTGCCTTAAGGTGATGGGACTCCTCTCTCTGGATGGTTAAATTGCCCTGGATCAGTTGGTCTTTTGTGGAAGAGCCCACTTCCGACACTATAATGTGACATTTATTCTTCTGATTAGCTTCACCTTTCCCGGTATACAGACACACATGGCTAGGTCCCAGTGCAGCAGGCATCACATTTTTACATTGAAACGCATTGTAATTAGTCTGCTGCATGGCTCTGATATTTGCTCAGGGATGAAGCAAATGGCATGGGATTTCAAGCTGGGGGCTCTCGGAGTTGCTAAGGCAAAGAAAAAGGAAGGAAAAAAACCTCCAGGAAAATAAAGGAAAGGAAGTCATGGGAGAGAACCTGACAGAAAAACTCAGAGAGCCTGAGAACAGGCTTCCTATCCTACTGAGGCAGCTGTTCTCACAACTGGCCTCTATCATTACAATCATAAAATTCTATCGATTACATGCAGTATAAATGAAGTACTTAGTGCCCTTGTGGAATGCAGAATCCATACTAATGACCCCAGGTTTATTTCCTACCTATTTCCTTGTGTTTCACTATCTAGATCTGTCTGGCAGCTTCCAGGGCTTGTAGCATTAAAAAGCCTCAGTTACTGCCTTTATTCCAGATGGTTTCGCTAAGTGTAAAACAGTCCGGAGAACCGAACTGATTTATTTCATCCGGGGCTGTAAACACCTGCCTTCTTTATACAGGGCTCTTGTAAGAATGTGACATTGTGGTGCTGGTGCAGTATGAGCAGGCACAGACGAATCTCAGACTGACCGTTCGAACAAATGAATTCTGCCGAGTGCATGCGCTGACTGCTAAAGCACGCCTGACTCTTTGGCATTTGCATTCATGAGCTTGTGTGCAGGGGATGCCGTTCGGAAGATGAACCCTGTTTTTATTTGTGTTCGTTCACTGGAAATCCCTCTTAAAAGAGTCGGCTCCCGGTCTCGCACCTCAGCCTGCGTGCACGACTGGGAAGCCCGCCGTCCTGACGGGGGGGGGAGAGCCGAATGTCACGGACGCGAAGCAGAATTCGCTTTAATCCCATCTCTCTCTTCATTAAGCACCAGCATCTGTGGCCCCGGCTGCGAAAGAGCCCTGATCGTTCTGTCTGGGAGGCAAATGGGGTCAGGATGAGGGGAGGACCTCAGCAGGGGAGGTTCAGTGTTCAATTTCCCAAAGGGCTTCCTGCTTTCTGGCCCAGAGGCCTGCTTGAACAACGCACGCACACACAAAACGGCCAGCCAGGGCCCGATCGGCTGCACTCTTCTGCAAGAGCCGCCTGTGGTGCCTTGTTATTTGCTCCCATTTCTTTGCTTCCCACAGACAGCTCTTCTTACCACTTGACCGTGAATGACAACAGCACAAGCGCACTCCCCTCTTCCCCACCTGCACCTTTCCGAGACGAATCCCGACGTTCACAGCTCTCGCCCCCATTTCCCTGATCCCAGGAAGTGAGCGGCGCGGCACGGCACGGCGCGTTACGCTAAGCAGGCTGCTCTGCGCGTGTTGTTATGGTCTCGCTCGGAAACCCCTGGATGAGCCTTAAGACTGGCGGCAGAGAGGGACTGTGGTCGTGCCTCCCCGATTCCCAGGCCAGGAGACAGGAGATCTTCCTCGGCTCATCAGATGTGCCTGGCACACCTCTAGACAAGCTGCCAGACAGCAGGACCCAGTCCCCGGGGAACAGGCATCCCCTGGCATGACTCTTTCTTTTTCTTAATAAAGGCACTTCTGGAAATCATGAAAGATTGATTGGGATGGCGTCTCATGTGAATGGCAGGCATTGAATTCTAACCAGTGCATTTAATTACAGCAGCAAATTAACAGCATGTCTCCTTGTGCCTCTGACTTCAAACGAACCTTTTCAAGTTATAATTGCACCTTATTGAGAATTGCACCCTGTTCTCCGAGGCCAAACGGTGATAGATTTCTTTTGCTGCTTCTTTTTTTCGCTTGAATGTGGATTGATTGCCATCTTGAAAATTAAAAAAAAAACGACTCCTGCGTGCCCTGCACACGCTGGAGCAGAGTGATTTTTTTAATTGCTCTTATTGTTTGCCTGATGTCTTCCTCCCCCCAGTGCAGTTTACGTTTGTAACCATTGATACAGCAAGCACTTGGGTCCAGCAATCCGAGTGAAGAGTGTACTTGCTCAAGGGCACAGCAGCACTGCCTCACCTGGGGCCGACCCATCAATTTGACCCTCCTAGTGATGGGTCCAGACCCCTAACCACTACTGACCTCTCCAGTCTTGAAGAGCAATGCATGTCCGGGGCATTTCAAGACAGATAGGCGAGCAACTCCCAGTCCGGTCTAGCAGAGAGCACACAGCCGATAATGAGATGCTGGTTTCAGCGTGGAGCCATGCACATTGCATATGAGCTAAACTTCTGCTGGGCCATCGCTCCCCCTTCTCTGTCAGGGCCTGGGGCTCCCCCTCCTCCCGCGCATCAGAGAGCTGGGGGTGGGGTGGGGGTGGCAGGTGGCAGTCAGAGGTAAGGGGAAAGTGAACGTTGAAGGAGGACACTAGGAGATAAGTGCCAGATGCTTTTAAGAGGCTTGGGGACTGGTTCGCTAGAAATAGAAAAAGAAAATGAAAAAAAATCAAATCAAAACAAAGCAGTCGGAGATCAACTGCCATAAAGCTGTCTGCGACTTATCTGGGCCACTTGCAGAAGGCGACGATGGCCGAGCTTCTGACTCTACATTGTGTATTATTGAGTGCAATAAATAGTCCCACTCCAACAGCTATTAGCAAGTGCAAATGACGCTTTTCTCAGGCATTAGTCCTGGTTCCACAGTTCTTCCATTATCACTGATAGTGGAGTAATCCTTAATAATACAATAAATCTAAAGGACCTCAATTTTAGCCCGTCAGGTTGAGAAATTTATTTTCTAAATGGAAAAAAATCTAAAGGTAATCAATAGATTTATGGAGGATTTTTTTAATGTTAACTACTGCATTGATCTATCTTATTTTCAATGGAAGCCTGTCAGGGCACACATTGCCAGTGTCTGTAGAAAAGGTAAAGCCTTTTGTACGAGCTGATGGAAGTTTTTTTTTTTTAACAATAGTTCAACAAGAAATTATCTTCCGGGTCTGCGCAGCAGAAGCCTGGGTTTTTATGGATACCCAAGCTGCTGCTGTGAGGGGATCCGATGGAACTGTAGATTCCACTCATTCCCTCTGGACCAGAATTCGAAACCGATGCCCCAGTATGGTGACTGGGGACACTGTGCTGTAGGGAGATGAGGGGTGAAACTGAGGTCCTGGCTTCGTGGCCATTAAAGATCCCAGGAAACTTTTGAAAGAACAGGAGTGTACAGAGCGCTCTCTCTTGATTCCATCGGTAGGGCACTTTTCCTGTTCTGAGATTCAGAATTGCCACGAGGGTAGTGCTGAATCAAGGTAGGTAGACTGAATCAAGTAAGGGGCAAGTGTACCTAGTAGAAAGGTCTAGTACGTACATACAGTCACACACGGCCACGGGCGGCACAGAACATACGCCTACCTGATACACAACCGCTGTGATGCACCAGCAGAAGGCTCAACCGTTGAAACGTTGCCCGCATTTTCCTGGTCTTCCTGCTTTTCAGTGTGGAACCCGTCGGCGTTCCATGGAAGCCCTGCAGAGACGCTCATGAGCAAGGGCGGTGGGCATCAGGTGGTGCCAGAGGTCGGGGGGGGGGGGGTTTAGTGTACTTCCTCCCCAAGACTGCGAAGACGTGGCAGATGAACAGCTCTGTGTATTGACATTGACACGACTCTCCGTGTTCCCCCAGGGTTTTGTCATGATTAATGCAGTTATACAGACGTTCAGGAGGAAGACTGGATCTTGATCTTCCACTCTTCCGCTCGCCCATGTGTCGAACTCTCGCACCCAGGACGTCCCCTCTCGTATATCTCTCGTATCACCTCCCCACCCCACCCCCACCACCGCCTCCCCATCTGCACCCCTGTGCAGCTCCCTGGCTCATTCCTCACCATAGCAGGGCTGCTGGGACGAGTCACGTCAAATCTCGCCCCTCTGTCACGCTCATTAGGATCTAACCCAGCTGCTCAACGACTGATCAGGCTCCTTCCATCCACGGCTCAGAGACGGAAGACCTTGTTGCGAAACACGCCCAAGAAGCATGGCCAAAGCCCCGTTAACAAGTGAGGCATCATGGGCCATCAGTGCAGGGCCGCCTGGGGGATGTGACAGATTTATCCATCTAGCATCGCGCTGCGTTTATGTGCGGGCGCGCTTCTGGCACGAATGCACCTGGGACTGGTGCCGGCAGAGGAAGGGGTCGTAATTCGGGAGATAAAATTTATCTCCGGAAGGTTAATGAGCTCCTTGTGATTTTTTCCTAATTAACACATTAATCATCGGAATAAATGCAAAGCGGAGTCCCAGAACCGGCGGGCGCGGGGGTGGGGGCGGCACGCGGGACATCGATCACGGCCGCTGCAGGGCATTGTGGGAGCCCGCCCCCGCGTGGCTGGCCGGACCCGAGAGCGGTGCCGCGGGCGGATCTGCTCCGGGCTCAGCCTACAGCTTCCCGGACAGAGCTCTGTCGCGCTGTCGGCCGTGAACACACTGCCTGTCTGGCGTCGCCCTGGGACACTTCCAGCGAGGCAGACTGACTTTCACACCCCCCAGCTCCACCAGACGAATGTCAGAATTCAGACAGGACACGCTATTTTATTGCTACGCGTTCCTGATCTTCGGTTCAGAGTATTTTCAGCTCAGACAGTATTTTCTGCCTGACAGGCTGACTCACACTTATTCAAATTACCTCAGCTGAACTGCTCCGGGTCTGTAAGTGGAATGAAAATATGCCAATTAAATAGCTAATTAATTTTGGTCCATTTATTTCAAAGTCTCACTAAAATATTGCTTTCTTTTGACAGCATCAACCAGTGAATGGCAGTTTCTTTTATTAAACATATAAATTATAGTGGTTACAAGGAGACAGTAAAGGATACTGTATCTATTCAGAGATACTAAAAGGAGCGCACTCACTCTGCAGTCCCCACAGGGCAGTGGTTAGGTGCCGTGTATCTGCAACACTTCAATAGTCATTTTTGTACTTCAGACGGTTTCGGGACAAATGCAGCTCTGGATCTGAAAAGTCTGGTTCGTTCATCACAAATGCTATTACAACCTTCCCCTCCTTTCTCTGGTTTTGTGCGAGTTTTCCCATTCCTGCGCTTGTTTTGTGTTAGATTTTTAAACACACTTTAAAAAAAAAAAAGACAGGGCAAATTTCGGATCTTTCGAAAGAACCCCAACGTGTTTTTTTTTTAAGTGCAGTGAACGATCACGGCCCGCAGACACGGGAGTCCCGGCGCCAGTGTCGCTGACAAAATTAAGCTCATAAACAGCGTGTCCTTGGGGTGCTCGGCCGAGGCGTCACCTGCGACATCGTGGTGCGGCGAGCCCTGCGGTTTGTTAAACTGCGCCCTTTCATTTTTCTCACACGTTCACCCTTCACCCTTCTCTTCATGCCAGTATTGACCCCCAACAGTTGCACCTCGGGGAACCCTTTGCCTTGATCGCTGCGCACCGCATCACACAAATTACCGTTTTTACGTTTGCCTACATTCATCGCGCACCGCTAGAACTCTTTACAAATGCCAGACGAGTATCTGCAGTGTGTGACATGGGCATCAGGGTGAAACATTACGCTGGGAATATTAAAAGCGCAGAGAGAATTGAAATCGAACCTCTATTTTGATGTAAATCCCGCATAACAGATTGATCCCACATTTTAATATCTAATGAGACAGAATTTTATATTCATGAAACTTCTATTTTTTCCCCCATGTGAGCCATATGTTCCCCATATAACGCGCTGTGGCAACTTTCACATTTCATTAAAATCACTCCGGGTGCTTGAGAAGCGAGGACGAAGCAAGAAAGCCAGCCCTGACAGGGTGGGAGACTTTGACTTCAGACGGCATCAGACATCTTTTGTGTCAGACGTGGGAATATCAATTTTGTCGGCTCGCCGTTTGCCTGTGTAGAAGCTTCTTTGGTACTTACAGAAATGTGCGAGACGCTTCTCAACAGACAACGCAGTTTAAATAACAGTAAATAGGGTTGTGATTTAGAGTATTTGTTTACAACTGGATATCTGTTTCCTGTAGATTCGTGTTGAAGGAGCTCAACGGGAAAAAGTGCTAGGTCTTCTTAACTGCACGGAAACGGCTTTATATCAGACATTAATTTTCTAACTTTCAGATACTTGGGGCCGGTTAGTGGGATATTTACTCCCCTCACTACCTCCCAAAAAAGAAACATCAATTTAATTGAAAAGGTTTAAATGGAGAAGATTAGGAGGGAATGTGATTCAAGTATTCAAAATCCTCAAAGATTAGTGGATGTCTCCAGAGTCAACAGGGAAACAGGAACCACAGGGCACCAGTTGAAACTACTGGGAAGTGCATTGAGATCAGGAAACAGGAGGAACTTCTTGACAATCAGGGTTGAACAGACAGACCGGACTGTTAGCCTCTGCGATAGCACATTCTGTGTGGCATTCGGTTCAACACGACTGATTGTTTGTTCCGAATCAACGCACGTATTTCCCTAATCCCTCTGATGGATGAGGACTTTTTAGTCCTCCAAAAAAGCTAGTCCGTTTTGGTGTCCAATCAACACTGATTTTGGAGTGGGTTGGGGGGATCTGACCCCCCCCCCCCCCCAAAATTAAAAAGCTCCCACAGAATCCTCCATATGCCCCCCAGCCTGAGTGCAATTTCATCATAAATGCTGGATTTAGGCTGGCAGATTAAGGTCTGACAGATGACCATATTGCTGTTTCAGAACAGACTCAGGAGAGATGGGCTGACTTGAAAGCACCATCATTTTATTTTTTTCAAGTATTGCACTAAGTAGTGCTTCTGCAAAATATCCTGAAACACACAAGGACACAGAATCCACAGAAAAACGTGTGTCTCGCTTCAGCAGACACAGTTGTTTCCCATCCGCTTCATCCACGTGCTCTGTACACTCATGCTCACTCGTTCGTCCGTTCATTCAGGCCCAACGCAGGCGGTGAACTGGCTTGCCCTGTGTTCAAGAGTCTTCATTTAAAGGGATGGGGTCTTTGTTCTGTGATCTCGGAGGACGCCAGCCTTTCTGGTATCCCAGGATACACAGTGAATCCCCCCACGGGAGTTAGGAGAGGGGGTGGAGGATCGAGGGCAGGTGGACACTAGTGGAAGTTCGGGATGCACATGGACACATTTACGATATTACTTCTGTTCCTACATCTGTCTTTTTTTTTGGTATCTCTGTTATTTCGAGCTCACCACGAACTAAATTCCTCACAACCCGAAGGGTTGGTGTGGCCGTAAAGCTGACTTTGACTCAACCTGACTCCGTGACGAACCCCCAGGCAGGTGCTCTGGGCCCGTCCCCCCTCCCTGGCAGCGGTGTGCTTTAGGCTGCAGGCACCACACAGCGGCGCATCCCAGGAACGGCTTCCCCAGCAGCTCCCATGGACCACAGCAGACGTAAAGGGGCAGCTGTGGGAATGCATAGCTGTTCCGCCTGCAAGATCTTCACAGCGGTCTGCAGTGCCGTAGCTCAGCACACCTGCACCCCACCTCTCCCCCCCAGTGAAGGAGCAGGCACGTGGTGGAGCCAGGGGGATAAATGCCCTCTTCTTGCGCTGTGCGCCGTGAGGCAGGGCTGCAGAGAACTGCCAATTACTTCAATTCCCCCTCCCTGCCCTTTGACATGCAAAGGTGCTTCTGCAGGGCTGCCTTGAGCTCCCCCCGGAAAATCAAAGCCAGCAGCTAATTCCCTGGCAAGATAAAGGGATGTTTCCAGGGATGTCAGGCTTATTTGCAGCCTCATTAACTTTGGAATCAGGCCTCTGCTGTGGTTAATCTGAGCTCCCTTCCAGCCAAGCCCATAAAAATCAATTCTATTAATGTTAACAAAATATTTATACAGCAGACACGACTTCAGTGCCTGTTTTCATATAAACTGTACAAGCTTAGCATATTGATGTTGTGTTTTTTTTAATTCAGAGAAGTTTAAATAGACAACCTAGCTTACAGCATCTGCATTTCATCTGCTTCCTGGCAGACAGATACTGTTAATGGCTAGAGCACTACGCTGAGGTACGATAAGGATGGGGGCAAGCACTATATTTTGGAGTATTGCTACTTAATGATGTCGTGCATGCTGTTATTTTCTAGCTGCTTCATAGGAATATTCAAAAGTGAGCAGCTCATGTCTGCAAACATAGTTTTGCAAGAGGCTTTTCTGAGTTAAAAACCCTGCACACGCTGATTTATATATGCACACTCACAAACACACATATGCAAATATGTGCATAAAACTGTCATGTTCCACTTGAGCAAAACTACAGTAAAATCTGAGATTTACCAGCAGTATAAAATTTGGTAGTCTATAACTAGACTACTGCATACAGTAATAAAACCTTTCCAATTAAAGTTTTCCTGCACTCACATACATTTCTGCCTCTTAATGTACAGGCTTCCTGGGGTTTATAACAAGGTGACAGCACATTATTACTGTGTGTGGGGAGGCATACTGGTGACCCCCACAGCAAGAGAGACACACTACCTCTTCACAGTCAGCAGAGCACAGCTGGCTGTCGGTCAGGACCGAAATGCACGTCACAATGATCCTTGGCACACTGCCTTCAGGGATGAACGTGGGGCCCACACCCAAATCCCATGTCCTGACACCAGCCCTGCATGGGTCAGCACAACCACAGCAGGCACGTCCAGCAATTAAACAGCTCTGACTGCGGGCTTCAGAGAACTCTATTCCAAGAGCATGATGTTAGTCATTCGTTTTAGTACCCATTAACAAACTATTTGCATTTATATGGCGATGTAACAGAGGATGCCGTAAAACAATGCACTTAATCTTGTGCAGTGCTCTTCAATCGGAGCGTCCCACTGCTGTTTAACATACAGAAAAATCACAGCAGCAACTCTGCATCCATCAGTATAATCCGTTACAGATAAGCTATCTCCAGTGAGTATGTTTACAAATGAGATTTAAAAGAGGCATTGCTGGTGTTTGCTAGAATTGGCCAGGGAAGAAGAAAAATGAAAGCTCTCTGGTACCCCTCCCTACTGAAATTGTAAGTAAAAGTTCAGAGCATGCTCAAAAGGTCATCTGTTGGAGACCTCAGATGCCTGGCTGTCAGGGAGCCTGGAACACACAGCTGTACAGAGTAGAAATTACAATGGTCGAGATGGAGGTCAGTCCAGGTTTAAAACTGCAGCACCCACCCTACACGCTGTCCACTGCCATATACCCCCTCTGTGTTCTGCCATGCTTTCTGTGTAGAGCTGAACATAAGCAGGACGAAACTGAACGCTTTAAAGGTGTCTGAGTTTTGAGAGAGCTGGCTGCGCGCTTGGACTGGACTTTTCTCTCCCAGCTTCTCCGGCAGCTCCCGCGCAGACGAGCTGAAGGAGAGGGTCCGGTGCGCGCCGGAGGAAATCGGAAAAGGGCTGATATCTCTCAGAAGCCGGCGGGAGACGCGATCTCTAACTTGACAGTACTGGGCCGGGAAAATTGACTGCGAGCCTCATGCTGGGCCAGACTGCCTCTCTGTGCGCGCGGAAGGCTGTGAGGCTGCTCTCCAAAGCCAGGGATGGGAATGTGTTTGTGTACTGATTAGGAGACTATAAAACGAAACAGCTGGAGCAGGGGTCTGGGGAGGAGGGAGGGGGGCGGGGGGCGAGCCAGACAAAAAAACAACCCTGGCAGAATTTCAAACCAGGGAATAAATAATCCGCTAAAGGATTTTGATGACTGAAGTGAGGGGAGGAGAGGGAGGGGGCTGGGTGAGGGCTCTGTGTTTTGCTATGTGTCTTTTTGATAAACTTTCCGCTCAGTGTATAACCTCTCCTGCCTCCGAGATCAAAAACTGGAGTCTGCGCTGCTCAGATCAGACACAGGTTACTCCGGATGAGCAAAAAACAATCTCCTTCATGTGCTGCCTGGATTCCTCTTAGCAGTGATGGACGTGTATTTTGCGGCCTCTTGGTACATGTTTTCACACTGGGAGCGATCTTCAGACGCAAGATGAAAGGAGTGTCTGCGATGGGCTGAAAAGGGCCGATAGACTTTTCCATATATTTCTCTCTCACTCTCCGTCTTTGTTAGGGCTGACCTTAGGTCATCCACGAACACTGAGACCTGCAGTTATTTCTTGGCAATGCCTTACTTTAAGAACAACAGTACTTCAGAAAATATATTGCATTTTTTTTTTTTTTTTACACGTAGACCAGGAAGCTGGTCCTTCTGTTGCAGATAACACTGACTCCTTGAAGGGGAAATGGAAAGACAGAATAACCACTGCCAAGTACCCAACTGGCTTTGAAAAGCCTTCTGAGGTTTTGTCTTAAAAGCTTGATGTGGCGTCAGGCAAACGAGTCGGAGGTGCAGCGTGGTGTCCTCTCCCCCATATTGTCTCCTGTGCTCCCCAGGCCCAGGGCCCACAGCACCAGCGGCCTGCAGGAGAACCCAGGGGCTGACGCAGCCCTCTGCGTTACCCCCCTCCCTTTACAGATCCAAACAACAACCCCCTGACTTCAATAACGGCTAAGTCAACCTACGTGTTTGCCTGCAACGATACTTGCCACATGCATGCTCTCGTCTAGTCACCTAACAGCAGCTTCCTGCCTGCTTACTGGTGGTGCCCAGCTGGATGGTGCTCATTTTCCCATGGGCAAGAAACAATACAGATAAAACGAACGCTTAAAAATGGCACTTCTCCCTTTCTCGGCCTTCGGCTGGAGTGTTCGTCTCTCTTTAAGGTTGTAAAAGGTGAAGGTTGTTCATGACCAACGCACTGCACTGTATGTCCACTCCGCTGACCTGCGTGCTCTCCTGCTGGAGGTGGCTTCCCCTGAAAGTGCTGCGTCGTCGCGTCCGGTCCCGGTCCGATTGGACCGGGTCTGGAGACGGGGCATCCCCTGGCCTGCCTGCAAGCCCCGCTGGGCTGCGGAGCTCGCGGCGCGAAGTCCAGAGCACTTTCATGAAGAAGACTGGGAAGAATAAGAAGAACATCTTGTAAGAGGAATTTCCGAAAATCTGTTTTCATTTATTCATGCTCTCTATTTGTACTCTTCACTTGCTAAAATATTTCATTTGAATAAATGCATTTTTAATGTTGCAATAAGTAGTGTGCATGTGCGTTTTAAAGAAGACCGGGCTGGTGTGAAGATAATTAAACCTGATGCCAGAACAGCACAATGGGTTCCCTGGAGAACAAACAGATGTTTACAATAAGCGCCATCAAAGAGGCATCACAACACATATTGCTGGGCCAGCGCAAGACAAGCTTGCCAGTTGTCAGAAATGTCTTCACAGGTTTGCTACTTGATGGCACCGGATTCTTTAATGAGACAGAAGGAGACAGAATAAGACAGAAGAGAAAAACGGCTCTAATGGAAAAGCACAGCGTTTTTTTTTACTTATCCTGATCACAGCCAGCAGACACGATGCTCATCGCATGGCCTTGGCAGAGATCACCTGTCTGGCTCCATCTCCTGATCTTCTCAGCACGAACAATGCACAGTGTAATTGCTGCTAAGACAGCTGACTGTGGCATTGTTGTGGATCTAGTTCCTAATTGTTTAAAGTCACACCGGGGACTGACAAAGGGTGTAGGTCAGATGTAAAGGGCATGCTTTGAATGTATGAGTTACTGGATTCAATCTCTGGTACCTGCAGGTACTCTGCCACACAGGCCAGCTCAGCTGAATGGCTTCCTCTCGTTTGCCAGCGTTCTTGTCTTAACTCTCACTGCCTGTGAAGATTCACACCGTCTGTGAAATTCACATATTCCCATTCATTTCTTTGTCACACTTCGTTGGGACTTTTTAATTGAGATGACACCAAGATTATATTGCCAATTCTGCGGTGTCTTCCTCGTCCGGGGGCGTGGTGTAAGCAGGCACGCACTATCGATAATGTTTGATACGAAAGAGCAGTGGGGACCGCGCGCCTCGCGTTTCAACTGTGAGGTAAGCTGAACACCTCGCTGCCTGTAACGCGAGGAATAAACATGATGAAACGTTGTGAAATGTTGTAGCAGAGCGTTTCGTTTTGAGTCAGCTTTGTTGATGTCCCCAAACTTCTCTGTGGTTGGAAACACCTGCAGGCTCTTCCTTTTTCTGTTTCGTCTCGGTTATATGGGCCCTCCATGCGAAATTCGCACTTTCTGACAAGATAAAGCCTATCTCACTGTGGGGACCGCAAAACTGTGCGTCTGTAGCGTTATCTCGCCAAGAGCAGAACAGTCAGCCTGCGCGCTTTACAACCTTAAACTGCTCTCCACAACCATTTCCTCTGCTCTGCGCGGATGGGACTGCAGGGCTCAGGCTGTTCTGCTGCAGTCTGCTCCGAAGCTTTACAGAGCTTCCTGCTCGTCTCCATGTCTGTTTGCGTGTTTCTTTTTTTGTTAAAAATAGCTCATTTTAAAACGGGGACATTGTCAAGGCCTGTTTGCTTCTGCCTTCTCCCTGCTTCACCTCGCTGGCAGGTGAAGTTCCTCTGTGCCTGAGAAAGAGAAATGTACAGCAGCCTGTGTCCACGGCACACGTAAAGGCCCATGCTGTGGAATCTCTGCACATTTCAGCGAGTGTAATACATACAGAATGTTTACTTAAAACAATTAGAATCACATACAGTATTTTCCTTTCTCTGTGTCCCGCCAACTCGTTAGTGCCAGGCCTTAATCAGCTCTTAATCAGTGGCCCTTTTCAGCCACTGGCGAGATGAGGAATGCACTGGCGTGGTCTGGCATCTCAGAGCACCAGGCCAGTGCCCGTCAGGCTCCTAACTCTGCCAGCCAAAAGCAGAGGTTCGGCTGGGAAGTCTGAGGTAGGCCTGTCTTTTTGGACCCGGTGCGGGGTGCTGGTCACCACAGGTGAACCATGGGGCCCGGGTTGCGCTCCGATCGGACTGGGAGCCAGTGGGGCACTGGGGGAGATCCGGAGACCCAGAAACTCAGGCCTCACCACGAGGTGATGGTTTCTATTGGGGTTGGGTAGGGGGACTGAAGAAACTGTAAGAAATGAAAACCACATCTTTGCTGAAGATTTTCGTGTTCCAGGAACCCCTCGGGCTACCATCGCAGAGTCGGTTGTGGATGGAAAGCAGAACTAAAAGCATTTGCAGACCACGGGACGGGTCCACTTGTTTACAGATCAGAAGAGTACGGTGATGTTATTGTTTCTCACCCTTCCACTGCGTTTTCAGGTCAGTCCCACCCACGGCAGACACCACCGAGGCACTGGAAGCTCAAGGGTTCAATGCTCTTCAATGCTATGTAGAATATTTTTAAAGAAAGCCATTTCCAGCAACGTGTATCACTAGCCTCGGTGCTTTAGCACACAGAAATAGGACTGAACACGCTTAAGTCCCAGAAAAGGAATCCCCAGCTCATATTCAAATGTTTGCTTTATAATCTGATTTCTCGTTTTGCTGGGAACAAGAACAGAAGATGTAGAAGATTGTTTTTCTGTAACAGGTGTGCCCCGTTCATAGACACAGTACCTCCAGGCCTAAAATGGGGGAAAGGTGTTAAACCAAGGCAAAGAAATGGGTCCGTCGAGACGTTCAGAACATGAGTATAATGAGAACCAGCCACTGCCAGATGAAATTGTAAGACAACAAGAGAGAACTTTAGACCTTGTAATGTAATCATAGTTAATTAAGGCACACCTATTGTTTGCTCATACTGTGGCATGCACACAGCGAGATTTTGACAGGAAGATGATCTCTGCTTTCTGATAAGCATTTTGCATGACCAAACCATACACGATGAATGGCTTTGTCTAGAGATCAATGCAATCGGCCGACCACATGTACCCTTTAGGAAATGATGCAGGAACTGTATACAGGAACTGCTGCCATGACCTTAACCTCTAAGCAGTTTTGAGAAGTGAGTGCTGTGGAGTGGATATTTTGGGATGGGGGGGGGGTATTAGGAAAGCAGAGGGTCCACTAGTAGAAGATACGTCACCATGTTCACTGGTGAAGCAGGAATGGCCAGGTGAAGAGTCTACAAGTGCATGCAGTAGCACCACCGATATTGTCTCATGTCACACTGAGCTGTAAACCTTCCTAGCTACTTTCCTGGTCCGGTCCAGCCGACACCGGGCTGCAGCCTGGAGTAGGGGGTAGGAACTCCATGGGCAGAGAGGACAGGGCAAGAGGTGAGGACTGGGGCCACAGCAGTCCCTTCAGGCCCCTCAGCAATGGGCCCTCCTGGGCTGCTTTGAATGCTTTGGGAAGGAGAGCAGGGAGGTGGGACCCTCTAGGAAAATGGCCGCATCTTCACCCTTCAGCATGAGGCACTGATGGATGAAAGGACATGGCTCCGTCTGGATTCGTCTCTTCATTCATGGTGCAAAACAATTTATGGAAATTGTTGCAACATGGGCATGGAGTGTTAATTAGCGCGAGTGTTCCCATGGCAACAACGAGTTAAGAAGAAGAAGAAGTTTGGGGAACCTTGAAACCCACATTGTGGAGATTTCTTTTCTTAAATTCAAATCAGCATTATAGCCATGAAATTAAATTGCAGTCCCTCGGAGATACGCGTGCAGATTTTGGTATGCTGTCATGTTGCAGGTATTTGGAAATTACCGAAGTCACGCTGAAGGGAGTTAAAACCCGTGGTAAACTAAGACTTGGCAGGATTCCACGCTTGCCTGTCTAGTGTAGGCTTGGGTGTCCGTTAATTACACACTCCACAGTGGAGAGGTAGCACATCAGGGCTCGAATGACACTTCCCCTTACAAAAAGTTATCTCCTGCACATCAAGAAACGCCACCAAAATGATACATTTGCCATCGCTCTCAAACTGAAAGAGCTTCCAAAAAAGAGGGGTCACAGCACCCCTTGCCCCCATCCCCTTGGAGAACAACAGGTAAGTTTCTTCTGGGCTCTGCTTCATGCAGGTAGAGACCCAAAACGTGACACCTGCAGAGTCAGACTATGCGGAGAGCTCAGGCTGCCCTGCGCAGGTCTCGTAGCGTGCAGCGGTCAGAAAAGGGAAGCGTACCTCCACCCACCTCCTTTCCCATAGCTGGGTTCTGAGATGCTGCTGAAACCCACCAAACGAATACCCAACCCGTCTAATCTATCCTGTTATTCAAACGTCAGGTCTTTAGTAATTTAACTGGCAGTGCACTTGCTGACAAAAGACCAAAGGTGGCGCTGTGGAGCACATCGAGCCCATGTAAGAAACACAGTCCTGGTATTTTAGCGTTTCCAGCATGACCTTCGCACTTTGGTGTTTCTTCGTGTGAGGCGACAGAGGGGCCAATTCTTTTTTTCATTTCTGCAAAAACGGTCTGCACTTCCGCTTGATGGAATTGGGTTGTAAAAGTCCCTCTGACTGCTGGAGGCTCAGCCAGCCTGAACTGGGACTACTGGGGAGTGAGACGCAAAAAAGACGCACCTGTCCAGAAGGGCGCACGGCACGCGTTCAGCTTCATCTCGTGATCACACTTGCGATTTCGATGTTTCCCCGCCATTCTCCCCATGAAAGAGCCACGCTTTTACACATCACTGTACTGTACTGGACTTTACAGTCGCGCCGGAACTGCATTTGGTGGGCTCGGCGTCAAGCCTCTGCCTGGTCCGCTCCGCGCGATATGGAAGTTGTGCAGTAACAAAGCAGCCCTCCCAGAAGACAGAAATAATTTCTTTTCTAATTCAAACATATCCACTGCTCATTCTATGGATTAGAGTTTTATTTCCCTGATGTATAGCTCTGCAGCTGTGCACAGGCAGCAGAAAAGACTTGCTTTTCCCTTAATAACTTTTGCCATGCATACATTAGCCCGAGCAGACACAAGTTTCAATTCTAATAAGGGCAACTTTATTATAGCCTTCATCGCCGGGTCCCATTTCCTGCACGAGGAACATATTCTCTTTTTACCTTCCATGGCTTCTCTGCTCGGAGCCAGCGAGTCCAATTAAGCTGGAGCCGGTGTGAAGTCTGCTGATCCCTCCGACTGTCCGTCTCGGAGCTCAGGATCTGAAGAGCGAGCGTCCAGCCCGCGGGAGTCCCCAGAGGTCCGCTGACCTGCATGATGGCAATCTGTTATTGCCTCAGGTTTAATAATCCGCCTGCCTGTGTACAACTGTGTACACAGAGAGGGGGAGAGAGGGGTGAGAGTGTAGTAATATCAGTGCTGAGGTGTTACAGTGCCTGCCTATAAGAGTATTATCAGACGTGCTCTTTTTCCAGCTGAAGAGTCGAGAACCACATTATGTATCTTATAAACACCACATGCACACGCATACTGTACATGCGTCTTATGCATTCGCACGTACAGACAGCGCCGACGTCGGAAAGCTGTGTCTGCTGGCTCTACGGCAAAGTGCAAACGAGGTTGTCTTGCCTGTTCATCAATTTCACTTGCAGGTCACCCTCTCTGTATGGGGCTCCGATGCCAACGGGCCTCGCTAGGAGGGGTTGTCTACGGAAATCAATGGCCCTGCTCAATCAGTCTGCGGCGCGGCTCAAGAGCGCCGAGAAAGACCCCGTCTCGCATTTAAATAGCAGTAAATCGCTGCTCATTTCCTGGTGCCTGTCATTTTCTCATGTAATGGTGTCTGATGGGGCGTGAGCTGAGTGCGATTTCGCCGTCGAGCTGTCAAGGCTGGTCACTTGGGCTGATTGCTGATGTGTGGTAATGTTGGTAACCCTTTCAACTCAAGTCGGAGACTGAGATCTCTCACTGGCAGAGGCCCGGTCCAGACCTCGGAGCGGGGAGAGGGCAGCAGCAGCACGGAGGCCCCCCTAAGGCTGGAGAAGCCGTTGATAAAAAACCCCGAGACCCCCATCAAGTCCTTTCCTGTCTGCAGCTCTGGAGGCTCCCGGCCAGGTCAGCTTGCACGCGGCTCCCAGGAAGCCACAGTGACCTTTCAAGGCAGGCGGCTGGAAGATCTTCGCTCCCGACAGGCAGAGGCCGGGTCAGGTTAGGGCGAGCTGCTCCGTTTCTACGAGGGGCTTCCCTAGTGACACGGGATGGCCCTGAAAACCTGGGCCCAGAGCGTGGCGAAGGAACGCCAGCGGCGGCACCTGTCTGCCACACACACGCGCGCAGGCTGCAGCATGTCCACAGCCATGCTCATCAGTCGGCACTGCTCTTAATGACTGCTTCTCAGTTAGATTCAGAGAAATGGCCTCCCACCCTGGACCTCAAGGTTTAATGGGAATCTCCAATCAATGGCTAAACATCCCATTAATCTCGACTAATTAAGCCAATAACTGATTCAATCAGGTGAGAACAATTAGCACGGGGAGCAGAAGACCCTCCGGATAGTCCCATAGGTCTAGACCTGGAGGCATCGGATTCAGCGATTAGCTTCTCACCTAAAAGCACGGTCTTCGTGAGGAAGATTTTAAGGTTTTGCTCTATCCAGTCCCGAGATGTTCAGGACAGACAAGTATTTTCCCACTTTTCAGCCATCACTCGGTGCAAGAAAGCTAAACCCCGCAGGGGGAGGGTGAAGGGAAATTATCGGTCTGTTGAGGTTAAAGAACTCCTTTATCTGCATCTCATATTCAGTTGCATCTGCTAATATATTTGCCATTTAAGGTGCTAGGAGATTCCCATTAAACACTCATTGAAATAAAGCACGAGCGAGCGGTGCAAAACCCAGTTCTTGTCAGTAATGAAGCTCTGGTGTGACAATTTGTTGTTGTTTTTTTAACTGCAGAAAGTTGCTAGAGCTGACAGTTTAACAGCAAACCACAGTGGACATGAAATCAGCTTGGTTTATTCCCAGGACCCTGCAACAGGTCGGGACAGGAGCCTCGACAGTGTTCTGCTCCTTTCACACATCCCAGCCACCAGCCTGACTTCGTAGCTCATCTCAGAAAACAGGAATAAAAGCTGGGCTGCTCTGCGGGCCCCGATGAGATCTGTCTTGCGGATTGTACTGCAGCCCTCAAGAAACGCAGATGAACAGGTGTCTGTTTTTTCATGAAGTCACTGTGCTGGTTTACAAACAATTTCCATTTGAACTTCAAAGCCAGCTGAACAGAAACAAGTACATGCTAAAAATACAAGATCTAAGTGTTGTGCGTTAATAATTTGCGTGTTACAGATAGACATTTGCAGGGTTACATTTACTGTTTGCCTTTACTATTTAAACTACTAGCTAAATTGTTTTTTTGTTAAATTACTGCCATTCAAAACATTGCTTTTCAATTTCTTTTTTTAGACAATGCTATTGTGTTCAGAAAATAAGGGCACCTACTGTTCCATAAACTGCAGACATTTAGCTGCGATCCTGAAGCAAAAATTCACTTCTGAAAAGGATTGTAAAGCCAGAGTAAACAGAGATTAAATGGTTTATTAATAAGATGCATCACTTTCTAATTTAACCAAATCAAGCTCTTTGCAATGATGGATAATTGAACCTCATGATATTCCGAGTTTAAATCTTTAATCTCTTCTATCACATCACAAGACAGAGGAGAAATATGGAGCCATTGGCGATCCAGAAACATCAGAAAGCATGGAATCACATTATTCAGAGAAACAGACTCCTGGTTTTTAGTCTGTGATATAATTTTTTTTTCTTGAGCAACTCAGCTTTGTAACTTGAGTGGCCATGTGACAGGCAGCTTGTTTTCCTGTCTGCTGTGTGCCACACCACACAAAGAGAAAACCATTTAAAAGAATTCAAGCTTTGCAGGATTATGGCAAGGACTTTTATTTTCAAAAAAGAAGCAAAAATGTAACACTCCCGTGAAAAATGTGACTTTGGCAACTGAAATACTGCAGAATGTCAAAGTGGTTTAAACTGTGATCCTATTTAAGAACCCAATGGTAACAAACAAGAGCAGCCCATCGTGTTGACCCCTGTCCAGTTCGACAGTTAGTAGTTATTTGACCTCCTACAGCTTTCCCTTGATTGAAGCCAAAGTATCAGCTTTAACAGCATATCTGGGTAGCTTGTTCCCTACTCCCACAGCTCTTTGGGTAAAGAAGTGGCTCCTGTTCTTTGTTTTAAATGCAGCAGATGGGTTCAGCACATCCCTCTAGTCCTCTGCATGGCTAAGGCCTTCGGCGACTATAAGCTGGAGGCGAGCTCTGCCTCCAGGACATCTGGTCCATATCAGTTTATAACATCTCTGCCTGGCCAAGGGGGCAGGGCACACGGCCCGTGACGAAGAGCATGGTGGACGAAGACCGAAACTGAGCGTGCGAGGAGCTCGGTTCAGAGGCAGACGGACAGAGGCCAGAGAGGCGCTGGGCGAAGGTGGGAGGTGGCATCAGCGTGAATCGCTTTCCTCTGCCGTGCTGTGGCCGCCAGTCCCGGTCCCGCTGACCCACACGCCCGCTGGCCGCGCCCTCGGCGACGCCACCACACCCTTCATTAACAGCAATAACAGCAGTAAGACCTCATGCGGCCCATCTGGGCCCGGCTCTTACGACAGGCTGGGGCTGTAACCCGCTTCGCGTCGTGCAAGTGAAGCCAAATCCCAGACACGTGCCTCGAAACAAAACGCAAACATCCCACTGAAGCGGCTCCCGGGGTCAGTCCAGGCTTCCGTTAGCCCACGAAGGTGGGGCATCGATGAAAACCGGCAGGGGTGCGGGTCACCGGCTCCAGGATTGGGACCCCCTGGTGTCTCTCCCACTGTAGCCTCGAGAGCAACGAGCCGAGTTGCGGGGTACCCCCCCCCGGCGGCTAGGGTAGACAGCACACAGGCGGCGGGCCAGGGGAGGTCCCGTCTCCGCCCACCTCCGCGCCCTTCGATGAAACGTTAAAAGAAACTCCCAGCAGCCCTTAATCACAGTCAACAGACTCGGGGGCGAGATGGGAGTCAGTCCTGCGGCTCACAGGGACACGAGCTGGGTGGCAGGAGGGAGGGAGGGAGGGGGGACAGAAGGCCTGCGAGAAAAACAGCCAACCCCCCTCCCTCTTGTCTTTGACAGTAACAGTGACAATTATATTCCCAGTAATGGATCATTACAGGAAGACAGGAGAATGATTTATTTCTTTAAATTAACTGGAAGCCTGGGGCAATTCTGTATTATAATGGAACTGCTCCCTACCCCCTCCTAATTTGCATCAGACGATTCGCTGATGCATTATTATTAATTACGTATTATATGTACATATTTTGTTGTATTTTTGTCATTCACAAGAAACAGCCTTTCCTGCCGCATGCACAGGGTACAGCTGCATGTGTGTCCCAGACAGGGGGTTACTGCAGGTCCTCTGTGGACTTCACCTTCGCTGGGATCATTATCGGCATCAAAGCCGGATCACAGACACAGACACAGACTCTGCTACGTAATGTGCAGCCATTCATTTCTTCTTACACAAGCATGTGGCTCCAAACGCATTCATTTATGAAATTAACTCTTCCAAATTTTTATAATACTGCCGATTTTTGGTTACCATCAAAAAGTGATAAAGCTCAAATTCCTACAATACCTTAGGTATGTACCATTTCTAACATGTAAGTGTATATATATATAGACTACTTATTTTACAGTTAATATGTGCATTACTTAATAATGCACATATGATACGGAAAGGTTCAATAAAAGTGAAGAAAACACAATCATTGTGTATTTATTGCAAAAATATCATATCCATCTGCAAAAACAGACAGATAGTGACATCATTCTCTCTCCCAGAGATGCCGTGTGACTGGCTGTCTGGAATAAGCCAGTTCTGAGTAAGAACACAAGACGTACTGCAGACCATATCCCCACACTTCATTTCCTGAGAAGCAGGATTTCCTTATAAGCTTTCAGTGCATCAGCAGCAAGTACTGACAAACCCAAGCACAATTACGAATAAAGATTGAATGAAGTGCAAAATACACTCTCGCTTTCAGTAAATACTATACTGACGTATTGCCATAACCTTGCTGTAGCCCAAGCTCACATTTATAGGGAGGTTAAAAAATTCTCACCTCCTCGCACCTCATCATCAGTTCTCAGATCTACTCTACTTTCGACCTCCATCAGTACCTTCTTGTACCAACAGCCTTCCAGTTACACACCCAGAGAGCTGACCACCAGTCAACCCAAGCACCTGCCGCGCCGCGTGTGTTACAAACAGTGACAGAAATCCAGGCTACAGTTACAAGTGACAAATGGTAAACTGGGTAAAGTACCTTACTAACATGCACATCACCTACTTGGGATTAAAACTCACAATCTGTGTTCAGGGGTCCAGAGACCAAACTGCTATAGCACACTGCTGGAGAAGAGAGCTCCTCTCAGCTAAGGAACACAGCTGCAGAAACCCCCATCAGAAAAAGAACTGGTGCTTTTGTTTTAGGGACCCCCAATAATGCACTCGCTAGAGTGAAGGCAGCTGTGCTCTGCCGATGTTACCCATAGCCAGGATCCAGATGATCTCAGACTGTGCAGGCCAAAGCATTTCAAAACCGATCCTAAAGCGACAAAGATGAGGACAAACAGAGACAATGCTGACAAAGGTGGCGTCTGGAAGGATGAATCTCTTACTGGTTTCTCAATAGCGCTGTCTGGAACAGTTCTACTGGTGCGGGTGAGGGGACCCCTCTTCAGGAGACCAGGAGCAGAATAGGGGTCCAGGCTACAGAGGTGAAGCGATCGTCAGGCCTTTATTTCAGCCGAAGTCAAGGTACAATCACATGAGAGGAAGAAGACATTTTCTCCTCTCCTTTATCTTTCTCTGTCTGTTTCCCCCGGCTGAGTTCAGATAACAGAAGTTACAATTCTCGCAGCCCCCTCATCTAGCAACTGGATGATGGAACGTAAGTGTTCTTACCTTTCTAAAAACTTGTTTTCTTTACTAATTTGTAGCGGTTTGCAGTCTAGGCGTTGTCAGAATTACAAGGACATACTGTTAACAAAAGAAGCGTTTTAAACACAAACAGCCTTTTACAGATGCGAGGTCATCGGTGCTTCGAGTAACCACTGGATTACACAGGAACTGCAGGCATAAGATTACAGGTGTTAGGATTTCACCAATTTTGAGATTATCATGGTGTTGTATAAAAGATAAAAACAATCCTTCACATGAAAACAACGGCAAAACGCTATAAATGATTTGCAGTTTTTTTTTCCAATGCTCACACCAGGAATACAGAAGCGTTGACAAAGATAACTAGAAAAAAAGGAAAAAAACATAAGTGCTAAACCTCCTATCTGTCTCTGCAATTAGTTAACAGTCTCAACACACACAAACGGGCGCACACCATCACACACACTCACAAACAAGCCCACACCTTCACACAGCAGCACAGGTATCTGCAGCTCAGCTTCAAAGCAAGGACAGGAGGGTTGGTTTAGCCTTTCAGAGCAGCAGATTTCAGCCTGAAGATGTCCCGGAGGCAAAATTTAATTTGGCAGTAATTTGACTTGAGTTGATTGAAGCTTTGCAGCTCTGCTCTGTTTTCAGACGTCAGACGTACGGGGGCCACAAGAGACAAGAGCCCTGGACCGGCCGTTAAGAAACTGGAACTGGGTGGAAAAAAAGGAATGGTTCTTGTTATTTGTGTGTATTCCACACCAAGGTACTTTAAATCCTTTATTTACAGCCAATATAGAGGTTGGCTGCATGGCATCAATCAATTTAAGTTTCCTGTTCATTCTTCGATAGAAAAACTGTTTTTTTTTATTCTTATCACGGGGCGTTGACTAGCCTTGACTGATATCCTGGCACACTCAATGCAAACCTGATTTCTATTTTGATCAGGGATTAATTGGAAGAAACTAATTTTTTAATGCAATATATTGGATTTCATGCACAGCCTAATCAATTATCATGGCATAATAATCCTTAATTACTTCTACTGAGGGGAATGAAAAAACACCTTCAGACTCAATTTCTCCTTATCTGCAATGTATCATCCTGTGTAAATTTTAATACAGTGGGTGACTTACTAATATATTGAATTAGTGTAGAATAAGCATGTTGTCCTTAACATTTACAATTTTACCAATGCAGGACACTTTCTGAATCTAATTATTATACTAAATACTAATTAAAGACATGATACTGTGATATTAATTTGACAGACATATAAATATATGTGAGACATCATGAGACCAGATAAAAATGGAAATATGACAGATCTCAAAGCAGCAAGTAATTCTTCCTGATACACGTCAATACAGACATTCTCCACACAGCAGGAGCTGGCAAACTGGCACAGAACAGCAGAAGACAAGACTGTTTGCAGAAACAGCTATAACCATTGAGGTCTCATACAAATCTGTCATAGGTGGTTCACAAATTACCTATAACTGCTACTGTTACTCC